CGAACCATGCCGCTATAGAGATGATTTTCAGCACCATATCGCGAACTCGTTTCTCAACATTTCTCGACTAATCTTTCTATATAAAGTCAATACAAGAATTTCGGTTGCTATAGTCGCGATCTAAATGCACAATAGTGAAAGACGAGCTGCCGACAATGTTCATCTCGCGATGAAGATCACGACGCGGGGACGGAGAATCACCGCACTAACCCCGCTTCTGATCCGCAGCGGACGAGGGCAGCAACCTCCTGCTTAAACCGGTCTAGCGACATCATCCACCGTAAAGGAAGGACGGTGTTGTTTTGTTCTCCTTAATTAAAAAGCTCGGTCTGAAACAGGATTCCTCTCCTCGTCTCCTTCAACTTGTTCTCATCTCTCAAGCCAAATGGATCCTTCAAAGATCCCCCCCGGGCATATCTATTGCATCCAAGACGGAAAGAAGCACTATGAACTCTTCACCACCATATATATAAGCGCCAACTATTGTGGCCGTTGCGGCTTGGCCAACCCCTTTCGAACCCAGCAACGAGCCAGGTCTAAAACTCCAGCACTTCCTGGCCCATATGATGAGGTGGTGGAAGTCGAGGACTCTCCGCCACGGCCAGTCAGCCCAGCAAGTCTGCTGCTGCGTGACAGACCAAAACCAGTGTCATCCATGAGCATCAGACGCGCCGCTCAATTCCTTCCCAACGAGATTTCCTCAGCGGATGCGGTGAACACGCGGGCAGTTATAGCTCCCTCTCAGTAGTCAAGCAATCCCCATTTTATGTCTGTCGCATCCGCGGCCAGCCGAGCTATTCAAAGTTCCAAAGGAAGCACCAGAAAACCTATGAGGCAGCGAACTGGCTATCAATGGGTCCATATAAGCCTCCTGCTTGTGAGCTTGGAGACAAGATACTTCAACGGGCTTGCAGTCGAGATCCCAGAGACCGTGTTGCCTCTGAAGGACACAGTGATCAGGTTTTCCTCGGCAGATTTACTGACGTGGCCTTCGTTCACCACAATTTTATTCGACCATCTCCGTCCGCTTCCGCCCGCGATCGATCTCACTAACAGAGACCTCTGGAGCTTATCGTACGCTTCTAGTTTCTCTGGCAAGAAGATCGTTACCGTCTCCAATACCGATAAGTACGCTACGCCGTCAAGCATGCTCGCATCGGGGCACTTTGGAAACAACCAAGCAGGGCAATTGAAGGTACTGGTGGTTCTGACATCCAGGGATGTTGTTGATAAACAGGAGCCAGTCACACCGCTGAGGCCAGATGAATATTCGACGCCGGTCAAAGAAGAAAAGAAACGGAAGATCAAGCAAGAGGACACGAGCCCTGCCACC